CTGTTTGATTATGGTTCGACTCACTGAGGTTCTAGCTCTAAATCTGTTAGTCATAAATTCTCTACCAGCTTCTTATCAAAGTGGTATCAGCTAATACAGCCACCCTCCAAAATGCCAAGATATCCCTTCACTATCTGGGAAAAGACAAAATAAACAAACAAATCTTCTTCCCTCCCTTCTTCTTATTAAATTAATAGACATTTGTGAGGGTCTGCTATGTGCCAGACACTATTTTAATCTCTGGGGATATGGTAGTGAAGAGAAAAAGAATAGATAATGCCTTTTTTTTTTCTTTACAAAGCTTACATTTTTATATGTCCTTTATGAATGGAAATGGAAAATGGTAAGAAATAGCCTAGCTAGCTGTTGTGATATTGAGATGGTCATGTATTTGGAAATCTCATTTATTGAGTACATTGGAAAGAGGAGATAAAAATTTTTCTGAATTTTAAAATTTTGTTATTTTGAAAGTTAGAGAGACCAACTGTTTTTAAATATCATCATCCACATAAGAAATTCTGAAGGTGATTATGTTGATCCAAATTGAGAAGGGACAAATCTAAGAACTTGTAAAATATTTTTAAATGTGATGTAGAAAGAATACAAATAATATTGTTATGAACAACTAATGACTCCCAGTATGACAGTCATCTAAACGTGATGCTCCTATCTCATTTCATCTGTTCAGGGGGTTTTCTGGAGTCTCCTTTGTAGGCTCCTTGAGAGCACAAGACAATGTCTTAGTTATCTTAGGACATCCTGGGATTGGCAGAGTGACTGCCAATCCCTTCTTCTGTGTGAAGAAGGTGCTTTGTAAAACGGTTTATTGAAATTAAATATTCAGATTGTTAATGAGGTTGGTTTGCAAACTGGCAAGATAAAAAGCTTCCTTCCATAGTTTCAGAACACCATGATATCTTAAAAAAAAAATGAATACTTCCACTCCTAGGTTTTTTATTTTTTTTTTTAATTTTTTTGCAGTTTTTGACCAGGGCTGGGTTTGAACCTGCCACCTCTGGCATATGAGGTCGGTGCCCTACTCCTTTGAGCCACAGGTGCCGCCCAACTCCTAAGTTTTTTAAATAATGCAGAATACATAGCAACTTAAGTGTATTCATTAATTATATAATAAAGTTTGTACTTGTGAATTTTTTTTACCATTTAATAACATGTGGCCATATACACATCTTATTGTTCTTTCTGAATTTCTTTCTTAACCATAAACACATCTTTCTTATTGTATTAACATGTGTATTATCATAAATGCATGAATGTATATGACAAAATACATAAATATGTATATAATTTATGTAATAATTTATATAATTCATTTCATTGTATGTAATTTCTATCTGCTCAAGCCTTTGGATGGCTGGAGAAATGGAGGCACAGATACTTCTTTTGTGTTGTATGGAGTAAATGTCTCAGGGTCTGAAAAATCAGGTTGGTTTCATGGGTGTGTGACTTGCCCTGTGACACAGGGCCGCACTGAGAAGAGATGAGCCTCATGCTTGATTTAAAGCTCTGCTGTCATTGTCTTGAAATTGTTTATAGTTTTTGAACAAGGAGCCCTGCGTTCTCATTGTGCAATGAGCTGCACAAATTATTTAGCTGGTGCTGGGTAAAAAGTGTCTGAATGTATTGAGAGTATAGCTCTCTCATGTTGTGCAGGACCAAAGTGTTCATTGCACCCGATTTCTGTATTTCATGAGCTTAACAAGAGGAGAGCTCCAAGGCCACTGGAGTCAGAATTGTCAGTTACTGGAGGGATCTATAGACACTGTGACCAGAGATTTCAGACCAATAGAACATAAGCTTCGACTCAATAGATTTACAAATACAGTGAAACCTGGTTAACAGCTTTAGTTAGTGAAGTGAAGCAAGGACAACAGATGGTTAACGTGGAACATGAGCATTGGGTTCAGTTGTTACTTGAGAAAAGTCATGATCTTTGATAGAATATGGGGGCAAAGGCAGATACAACCTACTTTACTGAACAGTCTGGTTAGCCATATTAGAAATATTTTTGTAATTTATGAAAAGTCCTTTGATATTTATCTACTGAGCAAAATGAAGAAGTGAATCCAGGTGGGAAACTGCCTGGATGTGAAAAACGTCTCCCCAACTGGTGTGTCCAGGGTTGCCGTTTCCATTGTAAGCAGGCAACTGGATGGTGGGCGAAAATTCTGTCATGCTAAAGCTTAAAAGCACCTCCTGGGCTACTTTTATATTGTAGAAGTTGAAAGGCTGCTGGCATCTGTAAGTTACCATTTTACAAAAGAGGTTGATGCTGATAATAATAATTATAATCACCATTACTTTTCATCAAAAGCAAATGATTACAGCCAATATTGTATTGAACGGAGTTAAATTGAAATCATTTCCACTCAGATCAGGAACAAGGCAAGGGTGCCCATTGTCTCCATTGCTCTTTAACATCGTAATGGAAGTTTTAGCCATC